TTTATTTTGAATAGACAGTGATGGGTTACAGTCCCTGTAAGGGGTTTATTGCCATCTGTGTCATTACTGGGCAGATTTGCACTCACTTACTGTCAAGGTCAGCTTTAATGGGAAATGTTTCCTTGGGGACACAGACAAAAGCACATTTATAGGAGGGTGAGGAACATCTGACAATATATTAATTGCTGTGTGCCTTCCTGTGCTGGTGACAACCACACCCTCCATTTCTGCTAAAGCATAAAAGGGACAGGAAGTGAGGGAAAATCTCCATGATAGGGTCATAGGCAAAAATAAAAACCGGACAGATATTTTCAATCAATAAATTTTTTACTGAAGTTTTAGATAAAGTATGTAACCAGGGAAAGATGCAATTGAATAACTTGATTCACTTAGCAGTTAAACACTGTTAAAACTATGTCCTACCCGCGAGGCCGTTTGTGGCCACGGCTGTAAATCACCGGCTGGTGTTTACCTGCCGACGCCCGGTTATTACCAAGGATCTCGGATGGGGAGGAGGGCTGCTTTGTTTACTAACAGTTCTCCTCCCTGTTGGCTTGGGTGCACTGCTCTGGATGGCTGTGCACAGCAGAGCCATCCAGAGCAGTGTCCTTACAGTAAAGCACCAACATACTGCCCCCCAATAAAACACTCCCAGCACACAGTTAACCCTTTGATCGCCCTCATGTTAACGCCTTCCGGCCCAGTGCCATTAGTACAATGTCAGTGCATTTTTTTAGCACTGATCACTGCATTGATGTCACTGGGAATGTCAGTGACACCAAGTCAGTTCCTCCCAGTGTCAGAATGCTTGCTGCAGTCCCACTATAAGTCACTGATCGCCGCCATTATTAGCAAAAAAAAAAGTAAAAATCCAGTATCTATACTGCCATTTGTAAACGCTATAACTTTCACGTAAACCAATAAATTTACACGTATTGGGATTTTTTTAGCAAAGACATGTAGCAGAATACATTTTGGCCTGAATTTATGACGATATTTGATTTTTTTTAAATTTTTTTACAGGACATGTTTAATAGCAAAAAGTCCAAAATATAGTTTTTTACTCAAAATTGTTGGTCTTTTTTTTTATAGCAGAAAAAATAAAAACCACACAGGTGATCAAATACCACCGAAAGAAAGCTCAATTTTGGGGGAAAAAAGACATAAATTTTATTTGGGTTCAGCATTGCATGACCGCGTAATTGTCAGTTAAAGTAACACAGCGCCGTAACACAAAAAATGGCCTGGTCAGGAAGGGGGGTAAATCCTCTGGAGGGCAAGGTGTTAAGATACATACTGGAGATTTTGATTTTTTACTAAAGGAGTAGAGAATGTTCACTTTGCAAAGTGCATTATTTTCAGCTACCTTTGTGATTGTAGTGAACATTTACTTTGCAAATGCCCAGTCATGTGCAAGGAAAATAATAATAATTAAAGTGTTATTAAACCCACAACAGTAAAATTAGTATGTATATGCAGTAAAGCTTGCTTGTTATACTACTATGGAACCTATAGGGATGATCCTCTGAATTCTGTAAAAATGCTGTTTGATCTTGACCTCTTTGATCCTCCCCTTCTTCCAGTGTCCCCCTCGTATCTCCTAAGACATATGGTGTGGAGACACTCTGCTCATGCTCAGTTTGGTGTGTATTTCTAGAGAGGTTTTTTTTTTTCTTGGGAGAGTGCATGTGATCAGCACAGGGCAAATCAGCACTGGTCAGAGATCAGGGGTTTTGCATCCTCTTAGAGCAGAATAAAAACTCCTCCTACAAGCTGTAACCAGTGCTCTGCTGGACACGGATAGAAGTCACAAGACTGCTCTAACTGCTGATGAGAAAAGGTATTTAGCAGTTTATATTTACTAAAATAATTGCATTTCCATATTCTGTGTACTTTTGGAGACCAGATGTAGTGAATTCAGGGTCCTGAGTTTAGTAAAACTTTAAAAAAAAGGATTTTTGCTTCAACATGATTTAAGGTTACCAATCTTTCAAAATAAAATCCAGTGACACCCTACTAACTGTACAAAGCCACACCATTTGTGTACACCCACAAAACCACACCCCTATTTGTTACATGGGAAAAATATGTATATAATGCAAGTTTGCAGAGCACATAGTGCACTGCACTGAATTGTGGGTGTGGCTAACTTGCTGTAACAGTGGGCAGGGCTTAATAGGGAATGGCTGAATTAAACCTGAAGCCTGCTAAAAAAGTCAAAAGAATCAAAAACAGAGAGTGCATGAATCAGGAGTAAGTAACATACAGTTCAGGAGTCAAACATTAAGTAACATACAGAGTTTAGAGGTCAGGAGTAAGAAATACTTAAAGTTCAGGGGTCAAGACTAAGTAACACACAGAGTTCAGGGTTCAGGATTAAGTAACACACATAGTTCAGGGGTCAGGATTAAGTAACATACAGAGTTCAGGGGTCAGGATTAAGTAACATACAGAGTTCAGGGTTCATGATGAAGTAACATACAGAGTTCAGGGGTCAGGATTTAGTAACATGCAGAGTTCAGGGGTTAGGATTTAATAACATACAGAGTTCAGGGGTCAGGATTTAGTAACATACAGAGTTCAAGGGGTCAGGATTTAATAACATACAGAGTTCAAGGGTCAGGATTAAGTAACATACAGAGTTCAGGGGTCAGGATTAAGTAACATACAGAGTTCAGGGATCAGGATTTAGTAACATACAGAGTTCAGTAGTCAGGATTTAATAAACATACAGAGTTCAGGGGTCAGGATTAAGTAACATACAGAGTTCAGGGTTCAGGATTTAGTAACATACAGAGTTCAGGGTTCAGGATTTAGTAACATACAGAGTTCAGGGGTCAGGATTGAGTAACATACAGAGTTCAGGGTTCAGGATTTAGTAACATACAGAGTTCAGAGGTCAGGATTAAGTGACATACAGAGTTCAGGGGTCAGGATTTAATAACATACAGAGTTCAGGGGTCAGGATTTTAATAACATACAGATTCAGGGGTCAGGATTTAGTAACATACAGAGTTCAGGGGTTGGGATTAAGTGACATACAGAGTTCAGGGGCAGGATTAAGTAACATACAGAGTTCAGGGGTGAGGATTTAGTAACATACAAAGTTCAGGGGTCAGGATTTAATAACATACCGAGTTCAGGGGTCAGGATTAAGTAACATACAGAGTTCAGGGGTCAGGATTTAATAACATACAGAGTTCAGGGGTCAGGATTAAGTAACATACAGAGTTCAGGGGTCAGGATTTAATAACATACAGCGTTCAGGGTCAGGATTTAATAACATACAGAGTTCAGGGGTCAGGATTTAATGACATACAGAGTTCAGGGGTCAGGATTAAGTAAGATACAGAGTTCAGGGGTCAGGATTAAGTAACATACAGAGTTTAGGGGTGAGGATTTAGTAACATACAAAGTTCAGGGGTCAGGATATAATAACATACCGAGTTCAGGGGTCAGGATTAAGTAACATACAGAGTTCAGGGGTCAGGATTTAATAACATACAGAGTTCAGGGGTCAGGATTAAGTAACATACAGAGTTCAGGGGTCAGGATTTAATAACATACAGCGTTCAGGAGTCAGGATTTAATAACATACAGAGTTCAGGGGTCAGGATTTAATGACATACAGAGTTCAGGGGTCAGGATTAAGTAAGATACAGAGTTCAGGGGTCAGGATTAAGTAACATACAGAGTTTCGGGTTCAGGATTTAATAAGATACAGAGTTAAGGGATCAGGATTTAGTAACATACAGAGTTCAGGGTTCAGGATTGAGTAACATACAGAGTTCAGGGTTCAGGATTTAGTAACATACAGAGTTCAGGGGTCAGGATTTAATAAAATACAGAGTTCAGGGGTCAGGATTAAGTAAAATACAGGGTTCAAGGGTCAGGATTAAGTGACATACAGAGTTCAGGGGTCAGGATTTAATAACATACAGAGTTCAGGGGTCAGGATTTAATAACATAAAGCGTTCAGGATCAGGATTTAATAACATACAGAGTTCAGGGGTCAGGATTAAGTAACATACAGAGTTCAGGGGTCAGGATATAATAACATACCCGCAAGGTAAATTTATGCAAGGCACTGCCATAGGATGAGTGATATTAGACTTTTACCTAGTTAGGAATGATAGTAATGATAGATCTTATGTCAATGATTAATTAACAACCAATGAAATGACTGTTCTTTCACAACTTTTTTTACGATGAAAATAAAAAGAAGGGAATACAAATGTGATACTATTAGCAACCAATCTGATTGCACCTATGAGTTTAACTGGTTAAAAAAAAATAAATGTTAATGCCTGGTTTGCTGTTCTAGGCAAACTATAATAATCCTTTTTTCTAGCTTTTATGAATCATTCCTAAAGTAAGTCCTAGTTGTGTGTTTGCATAAGAAATACCTTGAAGTCATTGTTTAAATAAGACTTACAATTTTGCTTTTGATTGTTATGGGTGATGTTGCTCAATTTGTATGTTAAAAAAAATAGTAAACTCAAGCACTACAACATTATGACCGCTAATGATACTTATGGCTAAAGCTTTTCATGCTAGTGTTATAATGAATTAACTTTACACTGCGTTTGCAGTCGGGGGTTAAATTGAAACTGGCTTGCTCATTTATTATCTACGCAGAGTGTGTTTCCGCAAGTGTCGCTGTTATAACAACATGAATAATTTTTAAACCACCTGTTGGCTCTGTCAATATGTTGTGTACCCTTGTGTGGGCAGGTATTGATAAACACCAGCTTTCATCTTTCTCAGATCATTTTACTGCTAACAAGAGCAAAGCTTTCTCACCACATGTCCTAGAAAGAAAAAAACAGTGCAAGCATTAAAAATGAGATTTTAGCAATGCTAATAAGTAAGCACTTTCATAGCCATCCCTGGTTGTTTTCTTCAAATGCTCAAATAGTCATTTATGTCTTACAAGTATCAAAGAGGTCTCTGTGTTTGACAAGTACTTTGACTTACTCTTATTTCTGTTTATTCAACAGTGGAAGAAGACTCGTTAGCACAAGAGCTCAGGTAAAAGAAAATAAATAAAAATTAAAGTGGATCCCATTTGCACACTATTTGTGGATGATAATCCCATTGTAATGTTAGGAAAACTGGATCTTTGTCACTGTAAAAATACTTTTCTTTTTTCCCATGAATTTAATGGGCAGAATCATTTTGAGAATTTGTGGTGACTCCACATCGTTAGACTGCAAAAGCTAATGAGCCCTCAGATTTAAGGGAGCTAATGTATTGTTTACCTATTGCAAGGATAGCTTGTAAAATAAATAATTCCAGGCATCGGCATGTAATACATGGTCACACCAGTGTGTTCTGTCCTCGCTACATGTGTGTAACTCACCATTCAGCTAAACCCTCCTATTCTGCAACAAACCAGACTGAAAGTAATTTTGGAACTTTATTAACAAAACAGGGTGGGTGAAGCTATTAGGAAAAACAGATACATATAATCAATATATAAAATATACAAACACAATTAAATGATTAAGCTGCAGATGGCAACAAGTCAATGCTCACCAGTGATGCTGCCTGTAGGGGATGAAGGTTTAGTCCATGACATGTGCTCCAATGGCTGGTTCCTTCTTTCTCAGTTTCTAAGATGGAGTCTGAGCTCCCAGAATGAATCTTGTTCTTCTTTTCAGAATGATGGGAATTTTTATTACTTTTTAGCTCTTATCTAAACACAACTTATCTTAACGTTTCTAGTTTCTGTAAATTTATTGCAGGATCCATCCAGTGACCAAAATGATTATTACATAATTAATTTCTCTGCTAAAGGCAGAACACAGTGTAACTATGTATATACCATACCTGGTCAATGCACCCGAAAGCTGAAAATCACTCAAGCTTCTGGGTCCCATGCTGAGCCACTGGCCTTATGCCTTGTGAACACAGGAGTTTGGTCACTCACCATAAGCACCATTCAGAGAATGATTTTCTGAAGGAATGCAAAACGCTCTCTAATTGGACAGCCCACCTCTCCACCTAGTCCAATCAGAGAATGTTCTGCATTTTTTTCAGAAAATGCAAAGCTTTCTCTGAATGGCGCTCATGCCAAGCAGCCCACCTCCAGTCTTCACAATGCAGGAGAGCAGGTGCTCAATGTGAAAGCAAGTGGGGATCACTGAAGTAGAAATGTCTACTTCAGTGACTTCTAGCTTTCAGCAGCATCAGTCAGGTATGTAATAAACATACAGTCAAAATCAATATATAAACCGTATATTCACAGCACAAATGAGCTGGGAAAATAAAAAAACATCTGAAAAAATGCATAATAAATTACCTACCGAAGTCAATAAATCAGCGCATAGAATGTATAAGCATGCAGCTGCCCTAATAGTGAATAATGCCATAATCACTTTATGAAACAATGATGAATAAAAGCAGCGCAAAAAAAAAAACATATATATATATATATATATATATATATATATATATATATATATACACTAGCAGAGTGAAAATATGACAATGAAAATAGTGATGAAGTGCAAAGTCCTTATTGATCCACCAAAATCACCACGTGAACAACATAACGATAATTGATTGAGTAAAGTGCACTCAGATATCCCCACGTGCTACAGAGGAAAACCTCCCTCAGTTCAATAGCACTCACCAGATATTGTGGCCCATCCAAACCTGATATGCAATAATGCTTATGGTGAGTGCCAGCATAGTACAGATTATCAGTCAACAAGCCCTTCATCAATTAGAGACTGATATGATGGAGGGACCTCCTCCAAACTATTACACTCCATAAGTACAGTGGCTCAGTGGTTAGCATTTCCGCCTGGCAGTACTACAGTACTAGGGTTGTTGGTTAGAATCCCAGCCATGGCACCTCCTGCCTGGAGTTTGCATGTTCTCCCTGTGCCTGCTTGGGTTTTTCTTTGGGTACTCCGGTTTCCTCCCACACTCCAAAGACATGCTGGTAGGTGAATTGGATCCTGTCTAAAATGATCCTCCTAACTACACATGAGCAATACGTCACTTCCGGTGGGGGATGTAAGGTGGATGCCTCATTACAGAATACGTCGTGCGGCCCAACCCTGACACGTGTTTCATCACCTGACTTTATCAAAGGTTTCCCTTGATTACAGAGTGTAATAGTTTGGAGAATGTCCCGCCATCATAGATGTCTCGATGAAGGGCTTGTTGATTGATGATCTGTACTATGCTGACACTCACCATAAGCGCTATGGCCTATCAGATTTGGATGGGCCACAATATCTGGTGAGCACCACTGAATTGGTGAAAGTCTTCCTCTGGAGCACGTGGGGATATCTGAGTGCACTTTACTCAATCAATTATCTTTATGTCGTTCATGTGGTGATCTTGGTAGATCAATAAGGATTTTGCACTTAATCACTATTTTCATTTTTCAGTTGATGAACTTATGTCAAATGATTTAAATATTTGTGTATATTTTCAGTGTTATATTTTCTGTCATATTTTCACTCTGCTAGTGTGTTTATATATATTTATATATATTTTTTTGCATTGCTTTTATTCATCATTACAATATACATATAGTAGTTACTTTGGTCCAAGCTGGACCAATGTAACCATGTACAGCTGGCAGATGCTAAGAATTATTCTTTAAATCTGAACTCCAGTCAAACATCTAAACACACAGATGAAATACATAGAAGGGTATTTTTTAACTTCCTAAAGGATTTGTATTTCTGTACATCTAATCCTAATTTTCCATAATTCAACTGCACAGGACAGTCCGGTATGGTATGGGAGACCTGACTTTTCTCTGCTGCAGTTAATGTACATGTAAACCCTTTCCTTGCAAAACAACCGATTCAGTTTAAAATAGAAATGAAAGGCAAACCTTTGTGTATAGACATAAAAAAACAACATTTTAAACAGGTTTCCCCCTTTTTTTTTATAAGTGATTACATACCCTATGTTCTCAAATGCATAAGAAGGGGGGAGGAGAAATAGCATCACACTGATCTTCCTAGTGAATGGCTAGAGAACTGACCACGGTGTGTTCTCCTGCTTAATGTGGTCTGTTTTTAATACGAAAGCAGAGGGACTGGCGGGAAGACCAGAGATTTCACACAAAGGAAGCTATACAAAAGGAAGAGCAGGGACATATCTGTAATATGAAATTGGGTTTACATGCAAGAGACTGATCATCTGTCATCTCTCTGTCGCTCTGCCCACATCATGTTAGTATATCTCTTGTTAGCACTGCAGCACAGTTGTCAGTGCTGTTTCTCCTTTTGCCAGTCTGAGCTCTGCAATAGTTACAAATACCAATTAATAAGGCACATGAGGATAATTAGGAAGAAACAGCTGTCTTCCCAACAAAGAGTATCAAAATAGCAGCATAGATATTGAGCAGCACAAGGGGAACCTTGGCTGCTAGGAAGAAAACACTGCACTCCATAAAATAGTAAGGATTTTTTTTTTTTTTGTTATTATCATTAACATTTTTTATTTTTAACTATTTTTGCATCAAAGCAAACTGAATCCCTTTACCAATTAAAAAGGCCAGGGGATAATATTCTACCTGTTTTACATAAACCTCTGCTTCATGCCATCATGTCCACTGGGACACTACTAGCAATTAGCAAATGTGTCTAGGTTCAGAATGGGTTCACGGAACATTACTTATGTTCAGGTGGTGAATCCAAACCCCTATAAAGTCAATGGGAGCTAAATGTTAAAAATTAGTACTGGTTATTTTCTAGGCTAATAGGCAAAGTATTATCAAACATGAGCGATGGGGAATTATCCTACGAAACATGTACCAAAGCCAAAAAAAAAATGTCTTTTTCATCAATACTGGACTCTTATCCTAGATGGGGGTCTGGTGTAGACTCCACAAAAAAATTATCTACGAGGATCTGTATCACTGGTGATCATTTTACAGATCACCAGACACACCGGACATATCATGGTGATTTTTTTTTTTATTTTTTAAAATAGGACAGGTCAAAAAGTATGTGTCTTCATTAACTATTTATATTTTGTTGTGTGAATGAGTAGGGGTATGTACTCCTTACTCATTCAAATAGGGGGGAGCAGTATCTGGGGGGCTTCCAGATTCTGATATTCTCCTGTCCACAGACCCTCACAACTACTAGGCCAGGGTTGTGGGAAAGAAGCCCTTGTCCTCATCAACATGGGGAAAAAAGTGCTACCCTCCTCATGTTGAGGGCATCTGACATGGTTTGATTCAGGAGGGGGTGCATGCTTGCGTCCCCTTTCTTGGCCCTCCAGGTTTCATGCTTGAATAAGGGTCTCATATGTATTTTAGGAGGAGGGGGCACACTTTTTTTTTTATACATGAGATCCCCCCTTAAAATCCATACAAGACCCCTTTCTAGGACAAGACTCTGATATAGATAACAAAGGGAAGTCCACATATTTTTTTTTCTGGATGGCATCAGTGACTGTGGCTCCCAGCATCCTAGCAACCATGTTACTGGCCATACCACACAGCATACAGTATTTGGTTGCTAGGCTTTTTGTCATGTTTATTGTGTGGGGTTCCCTTTAAACTCTATGCCAGACCTGAACAGTCAGGTATGAAATTTGAGGGGGACACCACAGATTTTTTTTTTGTTTTCATGGGGTTACCTTTAAAAACCCTTCCAGACCTGAAGGGTATGGTTTGAATTCTTGGGGAGATCCCATGCTGTTTTTATTTTTTGTCACCACACCACCCTCTTTGTTTACATCTACCTGTCATGAATGTAATAGACTGGGTGGAAATGTGTCACTGGTTGCTGTGGCCACTCAGTCCCTAGCAACAAGGAGCCCTGAGCAGGAAGTTGTAACATTTAGCAGGGGCAGTAGTACCACTGATAAATGTTTCACTTCCCACTGCAACCTGAAGTTCAGATCAGATGAATACCCATTTCTATCAGCCAAATGCTGAACCTCTGAACAAGCAGAATTTGGCCTGAACTGGAAGTTCATCCCTAGACACCAATGACCACCATTTTAACATTACTAAAACAATTTTAAAAGTCAAAACCTGTGCAATACAACTGATGTGAAATAATGTTAAAGCAGACCTCCAGTCCCCCCCCCCCCCCCCCTCTACAGAAGCCATACCTCCATCCCATACATTAGAAAATCAAACTTACCTGAAATTCAAGCTGCCTATTGCCAATCTTTTAATGTTAAAGGTCCTTTTTCTTCTTCACTGGTTTTGAGCAGTCCTTTCTGATGGACATGTGAACATTGTTGTATGCATTGAGCTCAAACCAGCCCTCAGGGTTGAGTCAATGGGACAACCTGGGCTTTTTGGAAGTGGGTTGAATGACAGAGGGTGGTATTCAACTGGGAAAATGTGCAGGGAATGGTGAGTCTTCAGGGGGCAGTGCCTAGAAAAGATGTGAGTATTGCAGAAGTAACCTGCTCCCTTGTTTTTCTTTGCCTCCATTCCTTTGTTGCCATATACTAATGCTCCTTTTCTGCTTCGTACAATCCATCTCCACCATTTTGAATAGTAAATGTCACCAGTACATTCAGTTACTGTATTTTTTCTACTGGCCCACCAATGACATTAACTGAATCTCACACTTGAAATAGTGTGCATAGGGGATTTGGTCTTATCTTTTATTGTTTTTATAAGTTGTCATGGCTTTGATAACTTAAGTGACATTACACTACTAACACTTATGTTGTTGAAGCTAGAGCAAGATATAAACAGTACCAAGGCCTTTTCCTCGGGATCTCACAAGATTTTTCGAAATTTCGCAAGATCTGGCAGTTTAAGACTGAGATCTTTGAAAGGCACTAATGCTGTAGCCTTTCCAGGGGGAAGTTGTGAAGTCCTGGCTACATTACTAGTGCTTTGATAGAGCGGTAAGTGTGATTCAATTAATTGTGAGTAGCAGAATAAATCTTTGATTTAACAAATGACTTGCAGATGTTTTGGGACTGGCTTGCAAAGGTGTATGCACCAGGGAATTTCAGTGTTGTGGGGAATGGTATGCTTTAATTCTACATTAATCAAATAATGTAGCATGTCCTTGGTAACAAGGAGTGTGGCATAATTATGAGATGGATAATATAACTGTCACAAATTTTGTCCAAACAGCACTTTAAAGCAGAAAAACATTATCTCGCAGTTAGGGTCTATAACTTTACATGTGAGGTCATTTAGTTCTATTACAGCAAAGCTGTTCCAAAGAAATGGAACAAAAGTTTTACTTCAATAATGTATCTTCATAAATGCACATTCCTTGGTGGAAATGTTTTAATTTGTTAATTTGTCAACATGTTGTATTACAATGTGCTTTCTTTTTTTTGTATTTCTTCAAACGTGGTTAATTAATTGAAGCATGTCTTACCAGCTTTCAGCTGACACACAATGTTGAAAAAAAATGTATGCACCAAATGGTACAATTTTTTTCTAACAAGTATATATTTGTTTTATGGGAGGGATATACAGAATGTCTGACCTAGTCCTTAAGGATTTGCAGACATGATGTTCTCAGTGGATTTGGATTCCATAGCTACCAAACGGGGGATTAACAGATAAACATGGGTATTTATCATGTAAAAACAACATTTATAGTATTAAGCCATAAAGATAGCAGTTTTGTCATGTCACTTAAATAAAAATGCATCTGCTTGCAAATTGCAAGAGGATCTAGAGTTGAGTTATCATTATTAAGTAGATCATTTGTTCATTTAAAATGCGATAAAAAAGGGTTTATACTGTGTAAGATTAATAAAAGTCTGAGTTTTGCAACTAAATACAAAACTACTTTTTATCAAAATCAGTATGGAAATATTAGCTATAATCACATTTTGTTTCAATAATAATAGTCAAATAATATACACAATATCATGTACATAATAAAAGTTGTTTGATCACAGTTGCAGAACTCCACATATTTTTAAATCATCCGTATTTACTGAGATTTCACAGATCTTAAAATCATTCATACCTCTAGAGAGGCACAGAAAAGCAAGTCATATGCTTTGAACTATTCTATTACCTTTCTGAGGAAAATGGAAAGAAATTTGCAAACCCCTGAACATAGTGGATGAACCTTGTTAAAGTCTATGGAAGACGATCTTGTAATTTTTGTATGGCCTCCTTCAAGGCTAATTTACAAAAAACATTTTTTAAATAGATTCAACAGGAAGCAGCTCTTCTAAAAAGCCTTAAGGACAGCATTAAAAATACAAATTCCATTAAATAACATGCTTGGGGTTATTTTAAAGGGAGCTTCCAGATTCTGATGTTTCTTCTGCTTGCAGACCTCTACATCTGATGGGCCAGGGGTGTGGAGAAGAAGCCCTTGTCCCCAACCACAAGGGGACAAGGTGCTTTCCTATGCCCCTAGCAAGATATATTCCCCATCTAGAGGGAGTAAGCCTGGTAAGGTTGGGGGGGGGGTGCACTTTCACTGCTCCTCAATCTTCTGGCCAAACATATTGCATTCTCTGATAAGGGTCTTTTTTTTTGACAGTGTCATTGACTGTGTAGCCACTAGTGTCCTAGCAATCAATGAGATAACTGGTTGCTAGGACACAGGTGGCAGTGTCCTTGTTTGCTAGCAAGCAGGTGGCCCCCACTGTCTAATTGAATGACTTTCAGCTTGCAGCCAGAAGTTCAGTGGGTGGCCTAACTGCCCATTTAGATTGTACATGCAGTGAATTGTGAACATATAGAGTTGTGTCAAATTCTACATGAATTGAATACTCATCCCTATTCCTGACCTTACTAACTAGCAGTGCAGAATAACAGCAGGCATTACAGGTACCTTTTTCAATCATTTTATTTGCACATATGCTGTAAAATTGGCACCTACTTCTTTATGCCCAGCTTTCTGTCATTTCACTAACCAAATGAGAACATCATTATTGACCCCTTAAAGGTCATTTTTGAATCCCCCCAAGACTTGTGCAATAAAAGAACACTTATATTGCTGTTTATGCTGCCTCATCCCAGGCTGGAGCCCAGTTTATGGGCATTCCAATGAGGTGAGCTACAGCACAGCAATGAATCCACCCCCCATCTCTTAGAACGAATACAAGAAGTGCAGTACACAAGAACACATACAAGAAATACAGTACACAATAAGTACAGTGCAGATTGCTGTCTGTTGTGTACAGTTGTGGTGACACTTCCCCATTAAGTTGAGAAAATTTGAGGCTTCATTCATAGTGGTTTCTGGGACTGGGAACTCCTAGGCTATGCAAAAAACAGTTGACTTAAAAAAAAAAAAGATTCCTGCTTCTGCCTCATGTTGCCCCCTCTTAATTTGCAGCAGTAATACAAGTAATAGGCTCGGAGGAATAGGAAGTCCAGGATATGTTCTTTCTAAATTTATTGTTGTGGCTGTTTGGTTTGTAGATGTACTGTAAAAAAACTTGTAAGGGTTGTCAGTGCTCTTCTTTGCACACTGGGGTTGATTTTACAAAAGATATTGAATTCACTTGTGTTCACTTCAATTATCCAATCATGTGAGTTGAAGCTTTTATTGGTAATGGTGCAATTAATATGATTTGATATTAAATACATTGAAACACTGGCTCAATGGGCTAAGAAAACTTTCCTCTTTTAGTAAAGCAACCCCACTGAATGTGTCTACCACATATGGGCAACAAAGAGAAAGGGCCAAACATAAATTCCTATAAATAGATAAATAGCTATGGCCGTATCCCAAAATAAGGTCAAGTTTAGAGGGGTATGAGCTTTGGCACCCAGCACACCCTAAAAAAAGGTAATAATCAGACTTTGTAATAATAATCAGTATTTGCAAGGACAAGTTTTTTCCATCCATCTTCTTCTATAAATTTGACACAGCATAAAAACATTTTAAGTCTATACCAAAAACAATACTATTTGGCCTTAAACATGTGGAAAATTATTAACTTACATTTTACAGAAAGAAGCTTTACTAAACTGAAACCTGAAAACTGAGGTAAATGTGTTACTTTGTAGGTTTTGTAAAGCAATTTAGGGGTCTCACTGGAGATCTTTTAAATGGGATCAGTACATTTCAGTGATACTGTATGTGTATAATAACTGCCTTAATGAATAAGTTACAAAGCAACAGTATTTAACTGACAAGTAATCTATGGACTCTTATGCAGAACATAGCAAAAGCGAAAATTAAGTTATATGCCAGGACAACTGCTACAAAACATAGTATATCTAAGGAAATAAATAAAATAAAAGGTTTGTTTTTAAAAATATAAACCAGCAAAGGACATGTTTATAAGAAGGTAAAGTCACCTCAATTATATAAAACAGTTCCCCAGCAATCAGCCATGGTATGCCAACCATGAGGAGATAATACTGTATAAACCTGCTTCTAACTTTATGATAGAACAGAAATGAAACAGTGGTTCTGATTTTTACTTTTTGATTGAAAAAATGTATTATTTCAAAATACAACTGTGAAGCAAACGTGAGCACACTAACATGTTTTGAGTACTTCAAAATGTTATCAAAATAACACATTTTTTTACCCTAAAACATTTCAAGAAGTAACCTAGTATCTGTTTTTTTTTTTTTGTATTTGCTATGCATCAAGATTAGCAAAAGAAAACATTTCCTTATCCTGTGTTTTCTTGGCTCAATATCGAACATCATGGATTAACATGTTTTTATTTAGAACAGAGTATTTGATTTTCAAATATGTTTTATTTGAAATGCAATTTGCTGCAGGCAGAATTAGACTTCTGCACCAACCAAATCCAAATGTTGAATTCTGACATTAAAATACAATAATTATAATGAGTTTTGTAATCTTCAAAATTCAGATCACTCAGATTTATCAATATTCCAATCATTTTGTTCTAGTGCTTACAATTGCACTATGTCAAAGAAGAGGAAATTTCAAGAACAGGGTTCCACAGCTCCAGTCAACAAAAGAAAGTCACTGCTAATGAAACCCCAGCATTATAACCCTAGTGAAGAACTCGATGAAGACAGCGAGGATAAATCTGAGTTTGTTAGCTTTAAATTCACTAAGAAAAAATGTTGTACTACTACAGGTAGGTACGCAAAGTTGTCTGGATATATGCACACTACTGAAAATTATTGGTAAATGTTGAAAAATGGTATAAATATTGTCAAAATAAAAAGATTTGGGTGCTTTACAAAAACATATCAAAATAATTGCTTGGGATAGAAGTAAAAAAATAAAGATTTAAAAAAATATATAAGAAAAAAAACAATGCACGCCCCTAAAAAAAAAAAACAGCACACCTGTGGGTTCTTCCCACCGACTATATGACTACAGGACATAAGGGGCCATGCATTAAACCGCTGAGCCCACTGGGAACCAGACTTGCAATATTTCTGGAAGTGCTGGATTTTGAAGATTTTTTTTAAGAACTGGTATAGTGCAGAAAAGTTGGTTGGCATGGGTGGCGGGATATGTAAGTGTTAATTATCATCTTCACAGGGGACACTTTTAAAACATTTTTATTCTAGGAAAAGACTTGTTTCATGTTAAAGCAGAACTCTGGGAATTTCGTTTTCCAATGCAGCGGGGCTGTGCCTGCACTGCATGGGTTAACTGCTCGTTTTGTGCAGGGGCGTATAGAAAGGCTATACTCACCTGATCCTTCAATTCTCCAGAAAACAGCACTCCCTCGCATCCAGCGGTGGACTGTTCCTGAGATTCTCATGTCTAGAGCTGGTCTATGGGCTTGATGACGTCACAAACACTCTACTACACAAGACTGCTAGTGTGCTTTGGGGGGGAAGGAGTGACAGGGACCACTCTAGTACTTAGAAAATCACCATATTAGGTAATAATATCTCCACTCTAGACAAATATGAGCAGTTAACCTAGGCAGTGTGGGCACAGTCCCACTGCATGGGAAAAACATTCTACTTTAAGTATGTGGCAGCAGAGCAAGTAAGTATCAACTGTCTTCTTTGCAGAGGGGCATTTTTAACCACCTTCCACTGGTCGTATACATATATGCACCCGCTCGGCAGGTAAACTTTAATCCAAGCTGCCGCATATATGCGTCCCTATGTAAACACTTTAACCAGCAGGTAGTGTAAAGCTCCCGAATCATATTTGCAATAATCTAAACATTTTTAATACTAAGTTTGATCCTTAAAGTGACACTGAATGATATACTTATCCTCCAAAATAACCCATACAAATCCTCTTCTTAATGGCCCTGGTGGCTATGTTCCCACATACAGTGGGACCATAGAGAATGGTAGCTATGTTCCTACATACAGTGGGACCATATAGAATTAATGTAGCCACCCTCTAACAGGAAGTCGGATCCCAGCAGCAAAAGAAAAGATTCCCCCCTCATTCCATATACTTACCAGGGCCCAATCTCGTTCAAGTGCTGTGCATGAGAGTAGAGGCTCTGTCCACTCTTTCCCTCCTCACAGGGCAGATTGAAAGCAGTGGAAACCATTGGTTCCTGCTGCTGTCAATCAAATCCTATAATGAGGGAATGAGGATGGGGAAAACCCCACTGTCTGTGTCTAAGGATACAGGCAGCAGGGCTCGGGAGTGAGTCCACACAAGTACCCCCCTAGTAAGCGGCTTGCTGGGGTGGTTAGTCAGAAGGAAAGAGGAACCAGGAGTGAAGTGGGGGATTCCAGAAGGGAAGAATCAGGGCTGCTCTTGCCAAACCATTGGATAGAGCAGGTAAGTATAACATAGATTTTTTTTCAAAACCAGACTTTATTGTCACTTTAACTATGGTATTGAAGTGGACTACATATCATACAGAGAGGAAGGGTTTTTTTTTCTTCTATTTTTTTTATAAAACCTTATAAGGTAGTTGTGGTGAAGGAACTCACTTTTCCTGTTCTTCATTGGTCTACCGCTAACTGAGAGTGATGTGAGCAGTCATTTATCAAACATGCTCAGTTCAACTCTCTAAATAAGCTCTACATTAGCATGCCAAATAAAATGTAATTCATTGATGCCATAATATGTCAGCAAAGTATTGAAATTATAAATTATGTATATATGTCAAACTGTGCTTTCCAATAATTATTTTATTATGAAAAATAAATGTATTTCTGATGTGGGAAGCTAAGTGTATAATTGTGAAAATAGAGTCAAGTCTAATGGTAAGCCACAATTTTCTAACGGAAGAGAAATGAAGAAGTAAAAAAAAAAAAAGGCCCTACTTGTTATCCCTTATTTTATCTGCATGCCAAATTCTGTATTCAGCTTACAAGGGTTGGAACACAGCAGGAATCCTTTAAAAGTGAGAACTGCAAGGTTCGGGTAAAACTGCTCTTTGCAGAATTCAAATCATCACTCACTGTATGAATCCTATTCTTTTAAATATAATTAATAAATATTTTTTCTTTTAACACATAACAAACAGTTGAACCGAACATTAGGTAAGTTGGAAACGTCCCAAAATGCTAACAGTTTGGCAACAGAAAAGTGAAATGCATTGGGCCGCACATGTGCATATCTACCCCCTGTAATCTGCACTTAATAGGAATATTTTAAACTATGTAACTAAGCAACAGAGGTAATTGTTGCTTTCCAGAGCTTTTGTTAGGCACTTTAACACAGCCCAAATATGCATAATTAGGCATAATGTCTATAAATCATTATTGTACACATGTGGGTAGTTAAGTGGATTGAGAGAATAGTTCAATGAATTGAGCATATTCACAGAAAATGCTTTTTATTTGTTTTCTCCAGTTCATAATACTTTAAAATTATCATAACCCTTTACACCATCTCTCAATAGCTTGCAGTGTTATTGAGAAAAACTTCATTTGCATTTTAGACTATGTTTAATTTATTATTTAAAACTGGAGTTTGTTGGATGTGAAATCTAGAGATGATAGGCCATTGTGCTGAATGATATGTGGCTCTTTATGCAGTCTATTTTCTAGGATGCAAAATGTTAAATTTTTTTTTTTTTTTTGGTTTAGAGTGAATAGATCCAAACAAAAGAACGCCATCTATAATCAAAGTTATTAAAAGGGCTAGTGTTGTGACTTCTTCCAAAAATGCTTTTAGTTACTATGACAATATTTACTTGATCCTGGCAGTTCACTGTTGATTTTAGGGGGATAATTACAAGAAAGATACATAATGTAGACTTTTTTTCGTGAGTGCCCTTGTCTGCAGAGCTGTTTATAAGGATTGCAGTGGAGCATAAAAGCGGTATTGTCTGCTATCATTATACCCTCTCATCCGGGTTGCTACAACCTGCTGCTTTTCTCCATTTTTTCCAGTTCATATTGTCATTTTGACAGAAACATGATAATTAACACAGATAGAGATATTTATTAAAGTTTCCTGTCTGTAGAACTTTAGCAGAAATCTAATGAAAACAAAGGTCTATGAAATAGCACGGCTCTTTGAAAGACTCTGCAGTAGGTGATGGGATTTTATCTTGTTAATTTAGTGCTGTTTTTCTCCCCAGCCACTTTACAAACAGAGCTGTTTCACAGGGCTTGGTCCTGGTTGGGTTATTAAATTGCATTAATAAACAGCGAACATATTCTACCATGGGAGTATACAATTTGATATTATTCCTTAGTACCAAATCATAAAAAGCATGAGAGGTCTTAGGCTAGTAATTGAAAACATAGGGGCTACTTTTGATTGGCAATGACCACAGGTGAGTGTTCCAAGATTTAGTCCAATTGAACCTTCAATTTAAATCAGATAAATACATTCCAATTGCATAGGGTGTGCAAAATGATATAGTTTTTCTTTGAAGAGCAACCAGGACTTGAGTAAAAAAGCTTATCCCCTGCCAGCCTCTTGCACAATATGACCCTTACTCTCTGTGTGTAAGTGGTGGTCTGTCTGTAGTGGTCCAAAATGACTCTTACTGAGTCTGGCCTATAGCTCTATAAATCAAAGTGAACAATCTCCTGAGCTCAAGATAGATTTTCCAGCATGAAGAACCTCAGATCATCGACTCAAAGTAAAGCAAGGATTTGTAGCCCCTAAGGGAAAACCCACAAGACACAAAAGAAAAAACAAAACCAGAAGGAGCACCAACCTCAAGCGTTCTTTAAATTCTTTTATTGAAGAAATAAAACAGATATATACTCACAAACAGTATGTATTATTCAGCTCATCAATGTCCACAGTGCCCCGCATAGCCCTATCCACTGCACAAGTCCAAAAATGGCTGATGCTTTTCAAAGGTTTCCTCAGAGGAAGAGGGAACATACCCTTGAAACACATAAGTCATTTTGGGACTTGCGCAGTGGATCAGGCTATATGGGGCACTATGGACATTAATGAGCTGGATAATACATGCTGTTTGTGAGTATATATCTGTATTATTTCTAGGGTTGGGTTTGATGTTTGAGTCGAGCATAAGTTCGACTTGAACATTGTCCATTCATGTGTCCTGCGAGCACATGAGGGGTAAGGGCATTGTGATTGGCCAAAACAATGCTTTGGCCAATCACAGCACATGATGACATCACAAGGGGGCAGGGGTGACCCTTGTAACATCATCACAGTATTTAAAAACTGTCAGGCCAGTGCAGCTGTCAGACAGCGGAAGCCAGCGTTGAGAGCGGATCATTTTACTTTTTTTGGGTCAGCGGTGGCAGTGGGCATCGTGATTGATGTTGGATCTACTTCGGGGGACATTTTTTATTTTTGTTTTTAGTAAAGGACTTGTCAAAGACTATCTCCTGTCATTTTTTTATACTACACTTTGTTTTATTGTGAATGTACCATGTACCCCATTCTCATTCACATGGGGGGGGCTGAGATCTGGGGCCCCCTTGTTAAAGGGAACTTCCAGATTCTGATAAGCCCCCCACCCGCAGACCCCCACAACCACCTGACACGGAAGAGGCCCTTTTCCCCATCAACATGGGGACAAGGTGCTTTGGGGGGGAGCCCCCATGCCCCAAAGCCCCCTACATGTTGAGGGCATGTGGCCTGGTATGGTTCAGGAGGGGGGAGCACTTGTTTGCCCCCCCCCTTTCCTGGATGCTTGGATAAGGGTCTGGTATGGAGGGTCTGGTAACCCCACTGACAGCTGAGACATCAAAGAATGTTTTCACTTCTAAAATACTGCATGACTTCAAAAATATAAATCAAGCAATATTTTAGTAGCTGTGCGGTATCTTACCACATACTCAGATGCGGTAAGATAGCTTAGTGAATTGTCCCTGTTCAAAGTTCACAGTCGAACTTTCGTTAGGTCTGAATGTTCGACCCCGAACCTAACAGGGAGATGCTTGGCCCATCACTAGTTATTTCTTAATAAAATAATATATATACTCACCGGCCACTTTATTAGGTACACCTGGCTATTGCCAAGAAAATAGCCCCCACACCATTACACCACCACCACCATCCTGAACAGTTGATACAAGGCAGGATGGATCCATACTTTCATGTTATTTATGGCAAATTCTGACCATCTGAATGTTGGAGCAACCAGTCTGCCTGTTCTCCTTTGACCTCTGACATCAACAAGGCATTTTCGTCCACACAACTGCAGCTCACTGGATATTTTCTCTTTTTTGGACCATTCTCTGTAATCCCTAGAGATGGTCGTGCATGCAAAATCCCAGTAGACCAGCAGTTTTTTGAAATATTCAGGTAAACCCATCTAGCACTAACAACCATGCCACGTCCAAAGTCACTTAAATCCCCTTTCTTCCGCATTCTAATGTTCGATTTGAACCAGGGGCGGACTGACCATTCAGGCACTTGGGCACTGCCCGACGGCCCGGGGTCAATAGGGGGCCCCATGAGATGCCCCTGGTACCTTTCATAGCCTTTTTTGGGTGTGGTTTGAGTGTGGGCAAGAACACAGGGGCCCCATGATCCCCTATTGCCGGGGGCCCCATGAGTTGTCAGTCCGCCCCTGGTTTGAACTTCAGCAAGTCATCTTCACCACGTCTACATGCTTAAATGCATGAGTTGATGTCATGTGATTTGCTGAATAGCAATTTGTGTTACCAAGCAATTAAACAGGTGTACCTAATAAAGTGGCTGGTGAGTGGATAGATAATATGCAAAGCTGATGCGCCCTCTGGCTCTGCTATCTACTATAGATCTATAATAATTGGGGTGTAGATGCCACCATATTCACAGTACAATACTAATGTAGTACCATAAAAGTCCCTTTTTTTTTTCTTTGGATTATTCAGACCTATAGCTCACCAGTCAGCAAAGTTCATGTTCTCTGCTGATTGGAGAGTTCTGGCTCTGACTCACAGGTGGGGTCTCAGACTGCTTCCCCACAGAGAACAAATGTCCCACTCTGAAGCATACCAGCAGGGCTATGGCTGTTTTTAAAGACAGAAAACTGTAAAACTTTGCATAGATTTAGTTTTGATACACCTCTAATGTATTTTGCTTATTAAAACTGGAAGTTCAATTGGGCTAAAATGGAACCTTGACCGATTAAGATGGACAATACATGAAGATTTGGCTGAATTTGAGAAATGGATGCCTGTTGTGATATAATTAATCTACAGTAGTTGCCATACTAATGGATGCATTCTGGCTTTTGAACAAGGCAAAACCAGTACAAGCAGATACAGAACAGTTAGTAGAAGTAATGATTATATGAAGATGGAACCTGCCAATAAATTCCAGCCAGCTTCTGTTGAAAGATGTGAAAAGAGCTAGCAAATTGAGGTAAATTACTCAAATCCTTAAAACCCAACCCCAGGCAAATGAAAAATATTCTCTTGCAGTGGGCCTGTTCCCTCACAACAAGAGTTTTTTGCTTGTTTATGTTTAGAGGAAAAATAAAAAGAGATTTACTTGATCCTTTGTTCCTCCCCACAGCTAGGCCAGTCCCCACAGTATCTGCACCCTATGCTCCACCAGTCCACAAGACCTGCTGCATCAAAACCAGAGCAGAGTCCATAGCCTTGTGCTGGACGTCAGGTTGCCAAGGGATAGTCCACTAACTGATCATGGGGGAGCAATGTCTGCTGAGGGAGTGCAGGATAAGGTTTCTCTTCTCTCCTTAAAAAATGAGCTAATAACCCTTGCAGTGTAGGCAAAGCCCCATTATTTGGCCAGATTTGAACTTTAAAGAAAACTTGTTACAGAAATACAATGAACAGCATTTCTTATCCTTATAGAAATGCTGGTTGCTTGGCAGTCATGCTGATTCTCTACCTTCAGCGCTTTCTGAGTCACTGATCAGGAGCAAGAGTTAGTGGTGCAGAAAAATACAGTTATAGGATCATAATGAGAATCATGGAATTGCTTTTAAAGAAGTAGAACTAAGCAAACTCAGCAGTCATGCAAACAGACATTAAAAATTGTAAACAAATGAACAAAGTTTCTTATGGTTATCTACTCTATCCAGAACCAGCTTTAGATACACTTTAACTGAGGACTGTCTGAGGCCTGAGGACCCAGAGCTTTTATATTTATATTACAAATATTGGAGAGGTTTTAATGCATGTCTTGTGTTTTTTGTATAGGTACAATTATTGTGCAGTCAACTGGTGTGACTACCCATACAGCTGAGGCAAAGACCTGTTATCAGAATCTTATCACTGATCCATCACTGCTGAGCAGGACAGTAAACGAGACAGTGACAGACAACCATGTGGGAAGTGTTATTCAATCAGCTAAAACTAAGATAGAAAGTCATGAAGAAAGTTATGGCATGCAGTTGTCCAAACAAAATGGCTCACCACCATTTTCACCTGAAGACAATAACGGCAGCACTGACATATCTGAAAATGGGTGGGACAGTTCTTCCAGTTACTCAGAGCTCAATGCACAGGACCATGCAAGGGACACATTCAGTCATGCCAATAAGCACAAGGGTGAAATGAACATTAAACATGAGAAACTATCAGAAAGTGAAAGCAACTCATCAATAGATATATCAGAGCCTGACAACACCAGTCACCAGCAGATCACCAAGAGTGATGATGATGATAAATGCCTCTCAATTATTACAGAAGAGTCCGTGGATTTGGATAAAACAAAAGGAAACCTGAGTCTGCTTGAGCAAGCAATAACTATAGAAGCAGAACAAGGACACATGTTTCACAGCACTTACAAGGAACTGGACATGTTTCTCCTGGAGCATCTAGCAAGAGAAAGAAGACAGACAAAAGTTATTGATGTAGCAGGACGACAAATATATTGCAACAAAAGTAAGAGAACCTAACAGGATGCAGTGTTTAAACATTGTAGAAAACAAGTGGTGCTGCTGATAAAATATCAAAAGACTAAACTTGGTTGTCATGTACATATCTGGGGTGTTATTATGAACAATTTATCTAATTCCTCATTTTTTTTGTAAATTTGGCAGGGTTTCAAATGTAAAAATGAGTGCCAGTGAACCTAATACAAGGTTCATCCTAACAGAGTATAATGAAAGTTTTTGGCAGTACAAATCCATCTTTGATGCTTATTGTACCCTCTTTTTTCAGCTTTCATAGGAAATTTTGCCCTTTCAGCCAGTGCAAAATCAATGTGTTCCCTGGTTTAAAACAAGTGTATCTGAGTTGCCCTTAGCAACTATTCCAATTTATATTACTCAAGATTTATGTTTCAAATAGTATCATTAAAGCATACCTGTGCTAGGACTATGCACAATAAAGTATTTACATATTTGGAACAAGCAGTAAAAAGCACTTTAAAACAAGCTCTCATTTATCTATTTAACTATAGGCATTGTGAAGAAATTTGTTGTTAGCATTCACAACAGAGGCACTGCATTCTAAGTTGTTTTTATGGATAGCAGATGTTAGCAGAGCTCCAATGTAACCACTTGTCTATAAACTGTTTATAAACGCTGACTGGTAGAATGGGGTGGTAGAATGATACAATGGGATTTTAAACACACAGTTGGTAATGTGTTTACATTTTTTCAGCTGGTGATGGACGTTCTGGTGGAAATTATTCAGCAACCCAATAATTTCCACAGCCTGCTGAAAGAACTGCCAACCCCACTTGACTGCCCCTGCCATGATTCTTGGGCTCCGATGTCCCATCTGTGGACACAGAACCAGCACAGTAGATGTTGATGGGTGGAACAGAGGGAGATCAGCAAATAACCATTCACTGATCTCCACTCCAATGAATGCAAGTGTACAATCCAAACGCACACATTCCTGCGTTAAAAATGGCTGTGTGTATAAGTGGGTGCTGCAGCGACCATTGGCTGGAACCGAACAGAATCAGCAAGAAAGAATGTCACCAACACACCGAGGATTAATATTATTATTATTGTTATATTGGATTTATATAGCGCCAACAGTTTGCTCCGCGCTTTACAATATAACGGAAGACAATACAGCAACAATACAGTTCAATACAAGAGGGATTTGAGGGCCCTGCTCCTTGGATCTTACAATCTAGGAGGGAGGGGCTAATGGTACAAAAGGTAGTAACTGTGGGGGATGGACTGGTTGGAAGAGTAGAAGATTCCAGTATTAGCTGAGGGCAGGATAGGCTTCCCTGAAGGGATAGGTTGTCAGAGATTGCCTAAAAGTGAGCAGAGTAGGCTTTAGTCTGATAAATTAGGGTAGAGAGTTCCAGTGGATGGGGGAAGCTCTGGAGAAGTCCTGGAGATGAGCATGGGAGGAGGAGACAAGGGAGCTAGAGAGTAGGAGGTCTTGTGAGGAGCAGAGAGTACGGTTTGGGTGATATTTAGAGACAAGATCGGTGATTTAATTTGGAGCAGAGTTATAAATGGCTTTATACGTTATTGTTCGTGTTTTGAATTTTATCCATTGGGCAATGGGAAGCCAGTGGAGGGATTGGCAGAGAGGGGTGGCAGATACAGAACGGTTAGTAAGGTGGATTATTCTGGCAGCAGCATTCATGATAGACTGAAGAGGGGATAGCCTGCGATGAGGTAGGCCAATGATGCCTGATGAAGGGGTCCTGCAAGACTCCGAAATGTTGCCTTGCTGTAACTGTGATCGATAATTAAAACTTTTGGACCCATATTGGTAATCCTCGGTGTGCTGGTGACATTCTCCCTTGCTCACTCCAATGGATGACCACAAAAGCAACATGTGTTGTGTCACCTTCGGTTTAAGCTGCCATTTCCCTGGCTGCTGTGGCCAGGGAAGAAGCTAATGAAGCATGATCAGTACGATGAATGAATCTAAAACCAACAAGGATTTTCTTGCATCTGTATTCAGATCTGTCATCCCCAAGCTACTGTAGCCAAGGAAGCAGCTAATGAAGCACAGTCTGTGCTTGATTAACTATATTAGTGGGCAAAGGGGGGCATTGGGGGCCTAATAAAGCCCTTGTGACAGCAATTTAAATTAAAGATAAAAAAATAAAGATATGTAAAAAATAAATTATTATTAAATAAATGAAAGTATTAAAAAGACATTTAAAAGCACCTGTGTCATTCCATGCACACACCCAAATGCAAATGCATATATAGGGCACACATGTGGGATATCGCTGCAAATGTCAGAGTTAGAGCAATAATTCTAAGGCCATAAATCATGGTCAGCTATAAACTGATAACCTAAAACGACTTTTAAACATTATTTATGAACAAACTTCACTCCCATGAAATTTTGCCACTTCACAGCATGCACAATTGTAAGGCTTGACATGTGGATATCTAGTTACCTTTGCAATGCAATATTTTATAATAAAATAGATGTTACATTGTATTTTTGTGTGCTAAAGCTCATTTTAGTGTATTTTTCCTTAAAAATTTGTGTTTAATAAACAGCTGCACAACAATCATGCAACATAAACATTGCAACTTCCACTATTTTATTTTTCAGGGCCTCTGCTTTCAACAATATATAATTACTTGAGGGTTTAAAGAAATTCTATAGCAAACAAAACTTAGATTTTGTGCTTGGAATACCCTGTTATGTTGTAGTGAGCTCAAATAGCTTACTCACCTGCCCAGCCAATCCAACATTGGTGTCCGTTTATAACACAGAGAATAAGCTGCGATTCAGAGGATCGCAGCTACTCTCTGGTCATTCACAGTTTATGACATTCAGGAGATCAGCGAGGATTGATGACAGCCCTTCACTGGAGATCTGTGTTCTCCCTCCAGATTCTCCAGTCCAGAGCTGGAGAATCGGAAGAACCGCAAACTAAGCAGCGATAATTTACCTCTGCTTAGTAAACTGATCTCTTACTGTAATCTCACGAGATTATAGTAAAAGCAGCCATTTTCCAGCATTTGTAGATCGTTCTCCCTTTGTTCGGAGAACTGATCTACACCGCTTCGTAAAAGGCATTCACAGGAGAACTGTGTTCTCCGAGAATGCCGGAGAACTGAGCAGCGATCATTTACCGCTGGTTCATAAACGGACACCATTGTCCTAATGTGATACCACATGACAGGCCATTCTTTCTGTTGTCATTGGGAGCCAACTGTCTCTTTAGGATACTTGCAGCCACCCCTGATGGTGCACCGCAGGTGCACAGCCATTCTCTGTAAACTGATACCTCCTGGGATATCTAATATGGATATCCCAGGAGGTTAGCTGCATATGGGGTACATGTCATTTTCGCATAGGTGAAATAGAAAAGAGGGGGTGGTCAGGGCCCAAAAATTGAAAAAAAAAGCTAAAAAGTTAGCTTTTATGATTATAAGAGAAGGGAGGGTTCAAAGGATCCAAAATGCTTTAGGGGAGTGAAGGTCCAATTTAACCTGACTTTAGAGAGCTTGTTGTGATCTTTGAGAATCTTAAAAGTGGAGCTCCACCCAAATGGGGAAGTTCCACTTTAAAGCTTCGCCCCCCATTCCCCGTTAAGGATTGGCACCTTTGGGGAGTGGGGGGGCACCCGAATTTGACAGGTACCCGCTCCCAGTTTTGACATGTACCGCTCTCCTTAGTCTTCTGGGACATATGACCGAAAAGACTACGGGATCATTCACAATGTTCACAGTCTGTTCGTAACATGTTACACTCTGAATATGTGTGTAACATGTTACGAAAGGTGAAATGATCCTTTAGGTTGTGAAAACAGTAGATTGATAGGGCATATTTAGATGCTTCATTCAGGGAATCATAGGTGACAGCATCATTAGACTACGTTTTCTCAAAAGAGCATGGTAGATGCTTAATGCTATCAGCCATAGCATCTAGTGTTTTTGCAGTTCATAGAAGCTCCCGAATGAGATACACAATATGTTTTTTCTAGAACAACAGGAAGAGCTAACTGGCCTGTACTATAGAATTTTCTATATTTTAGCATTAATTTAATTGATTTGATAAAGCTGCAAAATATAATTTATTTTACCAAGATAGATTGCTTTATCATATGCCTATGGTTGGATATTCACATTTACTCAATTAAATTGACCAATGTTTACACATTTTCAATTATGACTGACCCGTGTCATAATCACAGTAAAACAAAGGTCTCAGGTTGTTAGAACTGCACTAAAATAAACATTAATTTTTAAAACAAATAATTGAGATGTTGCCATTGGTCAGACCTATGACTTAGATGGAATTAAAATAAGCAAAACAATTTAACACATAACACTCAATGTAGACTTTGGATACCTTTGGATATGCAAAAGTTGGTTCAGTAATATTAGATTCAAAGCTTAAAACCACTTTTTTTTTTGTAGGTTCGCCACGCTCTGATAAACGTGAGACGAAATGCCCTATCCCAGGCTGTGATGGAACAGGTCATGTGACTGGACTCTACCCCCATCATCGTAGTTTATCTGGGTGTCCTCATAAAGTTCGAGTGCCTTTAGAAAGTCAGTGATTGAACTTTGTGATTATTCATTTTTACCACACATACATAGGGGTTGACTTACTAAAGGGCAACAGGCTGTTCACTTTGCAAAATAATTTTTCCTTAGCTTAGTGAATGAGGGAAAACTCATCTGCTGAATTCTGTCCTTTAATCACGTGCAAGCAAAAATTCTGTTTTTCATTTGCTATGCACAAGATTTTTTCAATGTAAATGTTTACCACATTCACTAAGCTTAGGGAAAATGTCCTTGCAAAGTGAAAATTCCCAAGCAAAGCAAGAAGCATATACAGTATGTCTTCAGTATAATCTCTTAAAGCTGTTAAATTAAAGGGTCAGTCCACCCAAAATAGATGGGTGGAAATTGGTGGCTTGAATCACCCCTTGACTTGTTATATCTCTTGAATACTCCAATAGTATGATTTCCCTGTTGGGGGACTAAGCTTTTTGGCCTTGAAAAAGTATTTCTTCTCCTTTTTAAAATTAGCAGGAAATTTTGCTATGGGAATAAATACCTGAGAAATATAAAATTCACATGAACACTTCAAATATCTACTATCTGCTTCAAACTGAATTATCTAGACCTTTAAAATGTTCCAATGTGCAAATGTTTTTTGCTATGTAACTATGTAACCGGCCTTGCTGGAATATATATATATATATATTAATACAGTAGTCTAAGCCAGGGGTCTCCAAACTGTGGCCCTCCAGGTGTTGAGGAACTGCAAGTCCCTTGAGGCCTTGCAAGACTCTGACAGCCACAGGCAGCACTCCCAGAGGCAGAGGCATGATGGGACTTGTAGTACTTCAACAGCTGGAGGGCCATAGTTTGGAGACCCCTGGTCTAAGCGACTAAAATACCTTTCCTGAAGAAAATCCAGCTGACACAACCAAATGCTGCAGCACTAGGTCATGTGCTATCTGTTGATGGGTAGGATCAGAGTTTAGATTGGCATATCCTTCTCTTCATCACAGATCATGTGACCAAAAGCCTAACCTGGATAGAGCCTGAGGCAGTATTCTCTCCAGGAAAGATAAGTATTACAAATCTTTATTTATCCATCTGCTATGCCAGAGAGTTTATTTACAGCTATTTATCAGTATTTATGCTAGTAGAAACTGTGTCATCATAGAAAATTATTTAATATATTACCCAATTAACATGCAGCCATAAAGCTGCCTCATCATCTGAAACGAAATTACATTCATAACAAAATTGATTACAAAGTAGTTATAAAAAATCCATACCACATAACATCAAATAAAACGAGTGTTTTCTTTATTTAAATAAAACTAATTGATTATACTGATGCTACATGCAAGGTACATTATATACTTTGCTCACAGTTGTGAAACTGAATTAACGTTATTTTTAGATCAAATGTTTTTAAATGCGCAGAGCCTGTCAAGTAAAATTAAATGCATATTATTAAAGTCCTAGATTTGTACCCTTTTTCATAGAGATGATGTCATATCTGTATTTTTACTTACCAATTAGTTTTGGCTAGGACATCAGTGTGAAGTAGAAATTCTGGCATTTGACAGTTGAATAAAATGGTGGGACTTAGCACCAGGAGGGAACAGGGCTTAATATCAATTTCTGCAGAAGTTAAGGCCCTTTGTACAGCCTGACCATAGGATCGAAGGAGGCTCAAGAACACAGAGATTGATTTGAAGACTACATAAGTACTTGTAGGCGTTTTTTTCTTTAGCACTGTTGAAGGTGCATTAAAGTGGACTTTTCTCCCCTAAAGTTAAAAATCTTATGTGCACGCAGCTCTGTAGGTCAGTCATTAAGCATCCTTAAATCATTTAAAATAATAACTACTTTCTGGTTAAATGAGGCACAGGTGACATAGCCTTGACCTCACAGATTCCCTCTTGGAGGTCCATGTCACCAGTGCTTTCCAGGGAGATCTAATTTTTCTCCCATTAAAAATTGCCTTATCCAATGATCTGTTGCAAAAAAAGCATTTATTTCAGTAGTCTTGGGGGAAAGTCCTTTTTTTTCCAACAAAAATGTCATCAGTGAGGTGACAGAAACTGAAGAAGAAGAAACTGGCCATCAATGATGTTTTCTTTAAATTAAATTGTTGGATTCAGACCATCAATGAGGACCAAATGCTGAGTTTGGGGAAGAAGAAGGAGGGAAGTAAATACTATAAATGTTAATAGTTTTACTAGATAGACTGCATTAATGTAGTCAATATTGTTAGGGAAAGAGTTGGGAAGGTCTATTTTGAGCAGTATTTTAGCATCACAATCAACTATTGTTGATTATCACAGTTGTTATTGAATGCCTTAACACATTAGATGACAATCAGCTGTGCATGCACAGTCAGGCCACTGAAAAATATGTGCATGCCTGTGCCTATAGAGCAAGGCAAGCATACTGCAGACATTCCCAATACCAGTTAAATGATAGCAACTGACTGGGAAAAAATCATGCAGCCAATCCTCTCCGACCCTGAGAATGCTCAGGAAGTCTGCCACAGTCACGGAGGGCCTACATTTATTTGAATGTTCAGACAAACATTCTCTTATGTCCGTAGACCCCACGAGACAAAGCAGAGAAAAACTAGAGATAATTTATAGAACAAAAATAACTACATAAGAAAATCAGACTCCTTAATTTATTTTTACAAAGAATATGAAACCTGATTGGACAACAATTCAATGTAAAAAATCTGAAGCAATGGAAAGTAGAGATGTTACTCATAGCATCAAAATTCATGTTTCTAATTTAGTATTCATTATAAAAAGTACAACCCTACAGGCTGCTGTTGGCAGCAACTATTTTATAGGTTTAGTTTTATAAATGAACCAAACAATGTAACCCATTTAAAATGACACTGAGAAGGAAGTGACAATTACCCCTCTGGTGTTGTTTGTTTCTTTGATTAGTACCCTTGACTGACTATTTCTTTATTCCTTAATTTGGTAAGAATTACTGAGTTTGTTTATCTATTTTTTTTCTTTAATTAGTTTTGGCCATGCATGAAAATGTATTAAAGTGTCCAACACCAGGATGTACAGGAAGAGGACATGTGAACAGTAATCGTAACACTCACAGAAGGTACCGTCAATGGATACTGCATTTAAAAACTGTTGCATGATTGAACTATGATTGACAGGACAAATGACTGTTTGGATAAAGCAATAGGCTGCCATCTACAAAGGAACCATCTTGTAACAAATCAGGATTGAGCAGATGGTGCGCTTACTGGGAAGCTTTTTAGAGTCTACTGAAGCCACAGATTTATTTAAATGAAAATAGTGATTTAAAACTTTGAAAGGGTTGTGCATTTCAAAAGCAGATGCCACAAAAGGCTACAGGTTTTCATTTATGACTTCATTGGCCTACATTACTGGTAATGATTTGCGGTATATCCCTACATTGTCTCTCAGTCCAATTTATCTGATCATTTAACCATCGTGAATATTTAAGTTAGAAATAAGACAGGTTTGAAAGGCTATATAGTAAAACATTTAGGTGAAGTACCTTCATAACATCATCATGCATACGTTTATATTTTTATTAATTAATCTCTTATCAGGGTATCTATACAGGTTTACATTTCAATATTCTCCAACATCGTTTTCTTGTCAGCAATTGTAGAATTATATTATATAAATATAACGAGAAAAGACTGCTAGGGGGGAGGTTTACATTTATCTACTGCTATACTTATTACAAATAGTCTACAATGCTGATGTTAAAATTGGTTAAAAAATAGTTTAAAAAAAATTATTAAAAAAAAAAAAAAAATTGTAAAAACTATTACTGTGTGCATTTATCTACTCACAGTTCTTATCTGATACATTTTCCCTGTTTTTTAAAATGTGAGTCCAGGTCAGCTCTGTGCTATGCATGGTGCATAGATCTTTAATATTACTTAATTAGAGAAAAAAATGAGGAAATGGATCTGTAAAATCTCTGAAAATCAGTTTTCAATTCTTGTTTTCCAAACATCAGTAAAAGTATTACAGGGGCAATCACACTGATTTCTAGACAAATACTGTATAAAGCAAATCCTGTTCACTTAAATATTGTGCTCAGAGTGCATGTAGCTAGGAGAGTATGGCTTGCTCTTTGGGCATGAACACCACCTGTGGGACTATCAGTTTCTACTGTATTCCACATAATTAGGCCTTATAGGCACTTTCACATCCACAACTTTGAGTGTTTTAAAGCTATTTAATTGTTTGTATTTTATTATATACACTAAACTATGCTGTTGCACATATCTTATTTAATATCTGTTTAGTAATATAAATCACTGCAGAAGCAGCACGGCGAATGTAAAGGGGATTTGGTATTTTGTGTTGGAAAAATACAGATTTTGCAATTTAAAAACCAACTGTTTTATCTGCATTGAGACTAGTACTGACATACTATATGCTGAAGAGCAAGTATTCCTTTCTACATAATGAATAGCAATGTGATGTGTTGCCATAGGCAACACAAACAATTTTCGTCTTATAATTTTTGAAACAACACTCTAAAATAGCCTTATACAGTACTTTTATTACTCCCTCAACTGCAAACACAAAATATATAATAAAAAAAATATGTATGATTGCTAATTACATTGTAGAAACAAGGATGTTGACTTACAGCTTATGCAAACACCATACCATATGGTTTCCTTAAAGGGTATCTCCATTTTTTGCAGGGCAATTGGGATAATGCCTAGTTAATATCTGTTACATGTTTCCAGTCACATAGCAAAACATACATAAATAAATAATGTAGCTTACCTTTTTAGATGTTCTTTTCAGTTACTTCCAGCGAGGACAAAATCAACTCAGTTCTCTTTGTTATAAGAACAGAACTGGGAAGCTGTGTTTACCATAACTAACCCTATCTGGAAGAAGATATCTCTACTATTGCACTAGCTTTGTACACAGTTGGATTGATTTACTAAAACTGGAGGGTGCAAAATTTGGTGCAGCTCTGCATTGAAATCAATCAGCTTCCATGTTTTTTTTTTGTCATAGCCTAATTGAACAAGCTGAGGTTAGAAGACTGGCTGCCATGCACAGCTGCACAAGATTTTGGACTTTTTTGGAGATATAGTAAATCAGGTATGCTGTGCAAATAGGAACACATTACAAACATATGGGATTGCGGAGGGAGGATCAAATGTAACTAAAAAAGTGGAAATCCACTTTAAGTATTGTTGAAATTATAAGAACACTCTTGAAGCTAATGATGGAGCATTGCTTGATGCCATTTTTTTTCTGTAGCCCAGCAGGGACATTATATTGGTAGCCAGAAACACAGTAAATCCCCATAGGGTGGATGTCAAATAAAGTATATTAAAATAAAAAATCAAATCCCCATAACATGGTGTTTATATATTTTAGTCGTACTAAGCAGTACAAAATTGTATTGATATCTTACAATGTTCGAACAGGCTTTAGCCTCAGGGAAAGAAAATAAGTATTAGTAACAGAAGTGGCAGTAACCAAAAGGACTGCTGCAAATGTAATTTATTTTCACATCAAAAAAGAAATTTTGTGTGGGAGGTATAATAAATATGTAAAATAGTATGTATGTTTATCCTCTTGGCCTGCACGGCTGTTGTGAGTCAAATTTTGTTATTCTCATTATTTAGAAACATGCTGAGATATATAAGGATGCCTGATCTAGAAACAATGTTTTGACACAGCAGCTATGGCTGATTCACTGACATGTTCTTACAGATTACCAAATTCGAGAAGAGCCACTGAGTAATCATACCACCCTCCCCATAATTTTCTCAGATGTATGTGGATCCTCACACATTTCTTATTTAATACATACTGCTAAATTAGATATATGAGGACCACTTGGTAAAGTCTGACTGCAGCCCTTCTCACTTGCTCTGTTTAACACAATTACAAACTGGTCAGTGTTTCTCACTACCATTTTCAGTGAAGTCAAAAAGAAAATTAAGTTGAAGGCTGCTATTTTATGCTATGCATCATTAAAGCAGAACTCAAGAAAACATTTTTTTATCTCATGCAGTGAGGCTGTGCCCGCACTGCATGGGTAACTGCTTGTTTTTGTCTAGAGGTGAGGAGAGCAGAGATATACTTACCTAATCCGCTAGCGCAAGACCAATCCCTGAGGCTCCGGATCACTCCCTGCGGTTTAGCGGTCTTGTGCGGTGCACTGCTCCTGACATCAGCACACCCATAGACCAGCTCTGCATGTGAGGTTGGCAGGAACAGTCCACTGCTGAAGGGGGGGGGGGGGGGGGGCACCATTTTCCAGAGGATCATAGGATCAGGTGAGCATAAGCTCTGTGTTCACCCCAAGACAAAACAAGCAGTAAACCAAAAGTGGTTTCCAAAGTGAGCAAAATCATCTCTTGCATTAAAGAGATGTCGATTCCAAAGAGAGAGATATAATTTTGTCCCTGTACACAAATCATTAGTAAGATCTCATCTGGAATATGCAGTTCAGTTTTTGGCACCAATTCACAAAAAGAATATTGGGGAACTGGGAAAAGTGCAGAGAAGGGCAACCAAACTGATAGAAGGCATGGAGGAGCTCAGCTATGAGGAAAGATTAGAGGAACTGAATTCATTCTCTCTTAAGAAGAGGAGATTAAGGGGCAATATGATCAACATGTATAAATACATAAGTGGTCCATATAGTAAACTCGGTTCAACCTAAGGTCATCACAGAGGACACAAGGGGGCACTCTGTGCATCTGGGAGAAAAAAGATTTAATCTCCAAATATGGAAAGGTTTCTTCACAGTAAGAGCTGTGAAAATGTGAAATAGACTCTCTCAAGAGTTGGTTCTGGCCAGCTCAGTGGAGTTCTTTAAAAAAGACCTAGATTCTTTCTTAGATACACATAATTTTACTGGATATTAACATTTATAGGTAAAGTTGATCCAGGCAATATTCTATTTCCCGTCGGGGGATCAGGAAGGAGTTTTTTTCCCCTGCAGGAGCAAATTGGATCATGCTTTGCTGGGTTTTTTTTTCCTTCCTTTGGTTCAACTGTGGGTATAGGATTATACTTTTTTTTCCTTCCCTTTTATGGTTGAACTAGATGGGCTTCTGTCTTTTTTCAGCCAGACTATGTAACTATGTAAACCACGTAGTGCACTGACTAAAAATGTTTTATGGAGTTCTGCTTTAGGTGTATTTCCAGCCAAAATTTTTTAAAACAGAAGAATTAGAACCCCTATTGGGCTATTTACAGCTATCCAGGGATTCATTAAATAGATTTTTCCTCGCTGTCCTGGAGATAATGGTTTCGCTAGACAGGAAATGAGGGAAAATCTCCAACAGTAACACAGATAGAAAAATTAGTAAGAAAAGACTATATTTCCTTTCAGCTTTTTATTGTTGTCTGTGTCCCTGTTTTAGATTTTCCCACACATCAGGGTTTGTTTCTTAAAGCTGTAGAGAGTGCAAAAACAGGATCACTTCTGCATAGAACCCAATTAGGTTCTGGGTTTTATTGCCAAAGCTTAATTGAACAAGCTGAGGTTAGAAGCTGATTGGTTTCTATGCGGAAATGAGCCTGATTTTGCAGTCTCCAGGTTTAGTAAATAAACCCCAGTTTGTGTGGTTTAGCCTTTGTCATCATTGCAGTAAGTGAAAGGAAATCTTTATAACAGATAGCAGTTAAAACCCAACAGGAGCTTTATTCCTTCCCCTCTCTAAAATGTAATGTTTTGGACTCCCATACTGTAACCATAGTACATTTGTTATACTGATAACACGCAACTAGCATTGATAATATTACAGATGAATTATTTCCCTAATTTTTCCTGAAAATGTATAATTTAGTATTCAGTCCTTAGAAAAGGTTGGGACCATGACAGATGCCAGCAAAAACCTAGCTAGCTGACAATCAGTGCCCTAGATCTCTGGTTTCTTCCCCCATAGGGTGGGGAAGGGTTAAAATGTCTGCTTAGTATGAATGTCCTTCTGTGACCCCATATTCCCCTCATTTGCTTTCCCCGTGACGTATATTACAAAGACAATAATTAAAGGAAAATCTTCCCAGTGGTGGCATAGATAGTGATGAAACTCAGACAGAGAACCTACAGTAACTCTCACTTTATGTTGTGTTACAAGAACAGCAGGTAAAAGGGATACATTGTTTTTGGGGGAGATTTGCCCTTCATTTTCTGTATCAGCAAATGCTGTACACAGAGACATAGTCAGGAATAAAAATCTGATGTGGACAGTACAACTCCCTTCAGCCAAAGCTTTCCAGGTTGTTTTTTTTCTAGGCTCATTTTGAACAAAAAGGCTTTGGAAGCTTTGGCTAGAGGGAGCAATACTGTCCTAAATATTATGTGGGGTGACATTCAGCAACTGAAAAAATGTTATCAGCCATGTTAGTGGTTTACATTTTTTCCGTTTCAAATAATGCCACGTTAGCTTCATCATATTGTATTATATTATTAGGCTGATTTACTAAAGGCAAATAGAGTGCAAGTTCATTTGCTCTAGAGCTTAGTAAATTAGGTAAGGCTTCACTTTACAAATAATGCTCAATCAAATGCAAGGAAAAAAAAAAATAATACATTTTCCTTGGCTATAATTGAATGATGGAAGTCAGCAGAATTTCTCCTTATTTACTAAGCTCTGAAACAACTGCACTTGCAAGGTATACAGTCTGTTTGAATGTAATAAATCCACTTCTATGCCGTTTGTTTTTAAACATCATATAATGAGGCTAGGTTTCTTCTTTATTCGTGTTATACACCATTATAGTATTATAATTTTTCTGTTTAATTATAAATCACATAATCATAATTATAATTTTTTGTTTAAAGTCTTTCAGGTTGTCCGATTGCTGCAGCAGAAAAACTTTCAAAAACACAAGAAAAACATTATTCACCTGGTGCAAACCTTGAATCCATTCACAGGTGTGTATATAGTTTACCTTTCAAGTCATGATTATCCTTTGTACTGGCTTATTAAATACATTTCTATATATTGTCTAGTTCTACCTTTTATAATACTAAGCAAATGTACATTTACATTTGTAATATTCTATATTTGCCAGAACAGGACAGTATTTTGGTTTCGGTTGTGCACCTATTAAAAGAAAAAAAAAAAAGAATATCATCGATTTGACTTGAATGGAGCAAGATGATATAAATGTGATGTGATGCAAAAACGTTTTCCTTAATTTTAAATAGAGTGGATAAATAGAACCCCTGTCAATCTTTTTTTGCTGTCTCTGTGCCCACTAGAGACTCACCCACTCTATTTGTCCCAGTAACCATAGTCACCAGGACAGAAAGGGATGGGGAATCTAACATTTTATAATTACAATTATAGCTGTTACAGGGAACATTCTATAACATTAGAGAAATGTCTTCTCACTTCCTGTTTCATTTTCAGGACAGGAATTGAAGGTTAGTCAAGTTAATGGAATCACTCCTGAAAAAGAGGATCAATGATCACTTAAAAACACACAACTTGCTGGACCCAAAGCAGCATGTCTTTACTTAGGGCAGATCATCTCAGACTAATCTGGTTGAATTTTTTGACAATGGGGTCAATTGACTAAAGGTTACCGCATGCGATAACACGGTCACGTGACCCATTTTCATAAATTATCGCATGTGGTAACAAAATGTCCAATTCACACACACAAAAAATAACAATTATGAAAAAAAGAAAAAAATACGGTAAGCTGTTAAATCCAATTCAAAAACGGAACCAAATGTAAAAAAAGATAAGATATTTACCACCAGGGGTTTGCTGGCAGTATCACATGCGGCATTTTTTTAGAGTTGGTTGTTAAGGAAGCCAGTCGCTGAGCCCTTAACAACAGATGACTCATCAGCTGTCAGCGGGTTTCCCCATGACAGCTGAATGTAAAAAAAACAAGAATTGCCAGCAATTTAGAATTAATAAAAAAAATGGCGTGGGGTTCCCCCATTCATACCAAGCCCTTTGGTCTGGCATAGATTTTGAGGGGAACCATCATGCCAATTTTTTTTTTTTTAAATGACGTGGGGTTCCTCACCAGGATCCATACCAGACCCTTATCCGAGCATGCAGCCTGGCAGGTCAGGAAGGGGGGAGGACAAGCGAGCAACCACCTCCTGAACCATTCTAGACCACATGCCCTCAACATGGGAGGGTGCTTTGGGGCAGAGGGGCTCCCCCTCAAAGCACCTTGCCCCCATGATGAGGACAAGGGCTTCCCCACAACCTTGGCTGGTGGTTGTGGGGGTCTGCGGATGGGGGGATTATCAGAATCTGGAAGCCCCCTTTAACAAGGGGGCCACTAGTTCCCAGCCCCCTCCAATGTGAATGACTATGGGGTACATGGTACCACTACTCATTCACAAAAAGAGTGTAAAGTAAAAAATCATAGATCTTTAGATAGACCTAATTTAGAATACTGTGTCTAGTTCTGGAGACCTCAATTACAAAAAGATATTGATAAGGTAGAACGAGTCCAGAGACGGGTAACAAAAATAGTGAAAGTTCTGGGGGATAAAACATATCGGAAAAGACTTCAGGAACTTAATATGTACAGTCTGGAGGAAAGAAGGGAAAGGGGAAACATGCTTGAAACCTTTAACTACATCAAGGGGGTGAATAAGGTTTAGGAGGGCAGTATTTTCAATATGAAACGAAGATCCAGAACACGGGGACATGACCTTAAACTAATCGAAGGAAAGTTCAAAACTAATCTTAGAAAGTATTATTTTACTGAAAGGGTAGTTGATGCTTTGAATAGACTTCCAGCAGAGGTAGTGAGTCAGTCAACAGGAAGTGGTTTCAAACTTGCTTGGGACAAAAATAGATCAATACTCAGACAAAAAAAAAATACAAAAACATGTATATAAAAAAAAGGGGAAGAGTTGATGGACCACTTGGTCTTTTTTCTGCCGTTTATTCTATGTTTCTCCAAAATGAGACAATGGCAGCAAAAAATAAACTGATAGGAGTTTTAACCTTTCCCCATGCTACACAAAACTAAGACTAAAAAGTTTAGATATACATACACTTTAAGTCCTTCAAAATGGACCTCTGGGTTCCATCTACCTCCAGCTAGAGATTTTCTATAAACTTTTTTTAGTCTGGAGTTTTTCACAAGCAAATTGAGTTTGAGGATGACTGTGCCCATTCTGTAAATGAATTGGTAGAATGGAAAAACAATGTGATGCAGAAAACTTATGTAATTCTCTCTCCTACATCATAAATCCATTGACCGGTGATAACTTATTTTAGTTACTATTGATAAAGAAGTCAATTAACATCATTTTACATGAGCTGTATTATTCACATTTTTTCTGTAATTCAATGTTTTTCAGAGCAACATGTGTGAAGCATCTTGAAGTAACACAATTCAGTTATCGGACCGCACCAGTTACTACAACACGAGCAACAATAATTAAAGAGCATGATAGATTTGGGAAAGTTCCATTTGATTATGCCAGTTTTGATGCACAAGTTTTTGGGAAACATACTATTGCAACAGTTGTTCACAGCCAAGAGACAACTAATGGTGATGGTAAGAACTATAATCAGCTTATCTTTATGTGTATACAAATTATATTTTGTCAAGATTATAATCATGCTGTTAAATCATCTAAAGCTGGCCATACCTGATATGTCTTTACTATTCAATGAATGTCAATAACCTTGTCTTAGTCAGTGACTGAATGAGCTTGCCAGGTATAACAGCCTTTTAAAAACTCAATCATCTTAACTCTACATCATTAGAAACAATCGGCAAAATTGTCTATCCCACAAGATGTATGTAGTAATTAATGATGAGGGAGTCCTTTCGGGTTAATTTCATTGGCCATCTGGCAAATCAAAACCTGAGATTTTTTTTCCCAGGTCCAAAGAAAATTCCTAGCATCAACTTAAAATGTATCATGTGATGGCTCCATTGGTTTTCATTTTTCAGACATTTTTTCTTTATATTACCTTGGCAATCATGCCATTAACATGCTTTCTAGGGTGACAACCATGTTGAACAGCATTGTTACCTTCTGTTTATCTGAACATTGAGTGTGTTAAGAATACTTTGCACTGTGTTAAGGTTACATAACACCTCCCTTTCCTCTCCATAATAGGAGAGGTGTTTTGTAGTCCACTAAGATAGCAGGGAACAATGTTATCTGAGAACAGTCCAGAGGCAGGAAGTTATTAGTTCACAAGATTTCTAGCTGGATAAACAGCTATTTGTTATTGCGCTTATCGAACAGATATAATAAAACGCTTTTAATGGTATAATTAATAGCCCAAAAGTAATCAAATAAGGGATATTTATTGTTAGAATTTATCTTTACTTTAACTCTTAAAGGAATCCTTTTCCCACACATATTCTTGTAGAACAACTTTTTACTGATAGTGTGGCATTTGGAAAGTGCACCATATCATTATGACAAAGCTGTTACTATTATTGGAATTAATAGGGTTATGGTATATACATCTATATACATCATGATAACATGGCACACTGATAAGGCTGTGCCCTGCATCATTAACATAAGACCCACTTGCCTATGAAGCCATTTACTGAATAACAGAAGGATGGGTGGGGGTAAGGAGCAGAAAAGGAAGAAGAGCTGCTCTGAACAGAACATGGACTGGTACAGGGTACATCAAATTGTGATTCAGGCAGAGACATAACTACAGGGGTCGCAGGGGTTGCAAGTGCGACCAAGTCCAATGCTCCAGGGAGCCTGTGCGGCTCCCCTCCACACCTGTAAAGGGGCAATGGAGGCAGACTATAGAGGAACCGATCCCCCTTCATTTTCCTCCTGCAACAACTAAAAGCCTGCTTCTCCTCCTCTCCCACCTGCAGGCATTCAGTGACTGCAGGAGGAAAATGTAGGAAATTAGTCCCTCTATATGCTGCCCCCATTGCCCCTCCTATCCAAGTTACTTGTCTCCTGCTCCCCTGGGGCCCCTGTGTGCCCCCCTGCTCCCACCGTCCCCAAGCAGTGCTGCCAGCTTTTCCCCTCCCCCCCCCGAGCTGCTGCAAAGAATGTGTCAGGATGGAGAGCAGGGAAGGGGCCTCGTAAATATGTAATTTAGTGGCCCCTTCCTTTTGTAAATGGACAGAGTCAGTGATCAATATGGATCACTGACTCTGTTCAGTCTTAACTGAATAACTGAATATATTAAACTATGCTTACTATGCTTCAGTTTGATAATGAATGGGAAGCTCTGTATAGAGCTAATCCTTCCATTCATTCTGTGCTGCTGAGGCTGCAGAGATGGAGATTGAGGGCCTCAAAGGTGAAACATCAGGTTTGTTTATACCTCTGATATCTTACCATAGCTCCCTTATGGGGCTCCTAAAAAAAATTTAAAAAAAATTATAAAAAATAAAATTGTAAAAAATAAAAAAATATATAAAATAAAATAGTAAAAAGTAATAAAAATATAAACTAACAAAAATAAAAAACTACTAACACCAGTGGCAGAACTACCAGGGTTGCAAAGGTCACACTTGCGACCTAGTCGTGGTATTCTGCCATTTTTGGGGGCCCAAGATGACAGGAAGGGGTCTCACTGCAGAACATGTAAAAGAGTTCTGGTGTGGCACTGTAATAAATTGCCCTGCGAGGAGAATAAAAGACCCTAGGATCAGTGTGAAGGGCCCCAAGCCCTAAGGGAGGTGCCCCGGCTGGGGGTCAGAGAGCCCTTCATGGTTTCTTGCACCGGGGCCCTGAAGGTTCTTGTTATGCTCCTAGATTTGGGGTTTGGATTAACCAATTCAGACATCTCTGTTAGTAGTTGAAGTAGTAGCAGAAGTATTGAAACTGCTTGTCTCTAGAGATAATCATTTGTTTTCTCTCCACAAAAATGAATAGGCAATGCTTAAACAATTTTTCATACCTTGACAAATCTTCCTATGTGTGTCATCAAATTACCAGCATAAATATTTTAGCTGGTCTGTAAACCCACAATTTAGCTTACAAACATAAATGGAGTGCTGGAAAGCCTATGTTGGCCAGTGCTTCCAACACCAAACCAACTCTTGTTCAGGTTTCTCAGCCAGACCACAGACAAAAGGCTGCACTATGAAAAATCTAGTGTGGTATAAAACTTAATTGTTCAGGTTCTGGACAAAACCTACAGGATAGCCCTGTCTGAGAGGGAGATCACAGCCAGGACTATCCTATGCTTTCGACTAGAACAATAACATTTTATACCATGCCAAATGTCTCATAGTGCAGATAGATTACCTGTAAGTTTGTTTAAATAGTAAGGAAGGGCTGAAACCCTTGTCATGTTTTCTTTTTCCTGCCTGGGTCCCACTTGCTTTGGAGATGCAGCAGGAAATTAAAGAAATTCTCTAGAAATTGAAGGAAATCCTTCTTTTAGACCACTGTCCCCAAAAAATGTGTCTGAATTGGAAGATTTCCCCTCACCTTTTGTTCTGGTAACAACGTCTGAAACTTTGATTTTCTGATACTGTTTGTTTCAATAAAAGTGATCACCAGAAAAAAGAAATAGGGTGAATCTACCTGGATGGGATACAGACAGAAAATATTGCTTGACTTGCTCTATCCAAAACCAAAAAAATGTCTATACATACATTCTAGGAGAGAGGAAATGATACAGTTTACTAATTCGTAATTATCAGAGAATAATAGTGTTTAGTGATTTAAAGATAAGAACAAGATATATAGAAAATGATGAAATAGCTACAATTTTCCATTAAACAAATTAGTGTTATTTGTAAGACAGAATGGATGAACATTTTATTTAGGATTCTTAGTGCTCTTCCTACATCAGAAATCATTTGTATTGTCTGAAATGTATTATCAGTTATTCAGCCATGAACAAAATATGTTGTATGCATGTAATCTCATCTCTCTTTAACAGCAAAACAATTTACAAGTCCAGTAAAATCTTCCAACCGACTGCCTAGCGCCCACACACAGAGTCCCTGCCATGCCAGCTCTTACAGCTATGGTCAGTGTAGTGAAGACACCCACATAGCAGCAGCTGCTGCCATCCTCAACCTTTCCACCCGCTGCAGGGAAGCAGCAGCAGAGATCCTGTCCAACAAACCATTGGGTCTGTCTGCCAAGGTAGGAGAATCCAAGATCCTGGAGCCTGTAGTGGCTACTGAGCTGTGAATAAACTGCTTTTCACATTAGTGTTAAAGGCCACAAAAACATGTGATGTACTGTTACTGTATCTAGGGGCAACTCTATACTTTATACAAAAACATGGTGAAATAAAATTATTCTGTGGAGCTGGAAGCAAGCTATTTTTTCCAGGAGCATTAGGAAATTAGTTGGATGTAAGACATAACCAATTGTCATCTGCAGAAGGCCCGGGGAGAGAAAAATTGGTTCCATTTTTATTTTCTAGGGTAATGGAGCTGAATTTTCAAAGTGCAGATTTGTAGATAGCTATGATTTTCTCGAGAGATGTGCACTAGGTAATTCCATCCTGCTTGTATTGTTCTAGGAAGATTCACACAGAGTTTGGATGAACATCTTACATGGTGAATTAAGCAAGTACTAATCTATTTACCTTGAACGCAATAATAGTTGAACCTTGTCATATTTAACACCCCATAATTAGGATCCTAAAATGGTTCTATGTTTTTAAGATTATACTTATATAGAGGAAACATCTTCCACTGAAATTTGTGAAAATTCTAAATTTCAAAAAGTATCACACTTCTGATTTTTGATAATCAGGTGACTGAAAGGATACACATAGCAATATACTCTTTATCACATATCACAGGAATCGGGTTGGTAATAACATTGTAGTGAGCTAATCTCTACATTTCAATTGGGTATGGATAAACAATATTCTAAGTGTCACACTTTCACATTGCAAAGTAAATGTTCACTTTTAGCTTAAAGTGTATTTAAACTCAAGAAAAAAATATAATATATTGCTGCTTACCAGTCCTTAGAAGTGATTGTTGCATTTGTTTTCCTTTACTGGCTTTTTTTAACGTTTATTTGGTTTTTACTTGGTGATCCTGCCAGTAACAGACTTCCTGTTCCAGACTGAATCATTCACCTTAGTCCCTGCTTCCAACAGTCATTTAAACACATATACACATTCTAAGACTAATTTGGATAAAAACTAGTTAAAGTCACCCTGTCTATATACTAAAAAAATTAAGTAAGCTGTACCTGTAAAAGAAGAGAGGAAATACTTACCTTTACTACCTTACTTGCTGCCCTTCATTTCTGAAACATTGTCCTCTGGCTTTCTGTGGGAAACCAACACTTCCAGTAGTGTCAATCTCATGGGTTCCCCGCAGCTCTAAAAAAACAGTAAGAGCTGAGGAGTACCCATGAGATTGACATTCACAGTAAAGATTCCTTTCCAGCAGACTTCTGGGGATGCTTTCTCAGGAGAGGAGTGGCATTTGGGGGGTACAGGTATCAGGAGAGATAAGCATTCCTTTTCTTCTTTCACAGGTTTAGCTTGTCTTTAAAATGTTAGTAACGCAACAGGGTTTCTTCAACCTAGTAATGTATTTCTGGGTCCAAATCAAAGCACTTGGAGGAAACCTAAAGAAAAATGTGAAGGATTATCACCTTGTGTTGACATTGGTTATAAATGTTGGCCATAAAGTCTTTTTCTACCTTATCTTTTATACATCAGATGATGTTTTTTTCTAGATGGTTGTCATTTATTTTGTGCCTCACCTATGCTATTTGTGCCAGGAAGCACCTATTGGAATACTTTGCTTATTCTATATTTGTACAATTGTACTTTTATCACCATTTTCTACTCAATAGATATCTGTAAACTAGAAAAATGGGAAGGATATATATATAAAAAAAAACTCCAGGCAAATAGTGTGTCTGTCAGAGCTGAACCAACAATCTGTGTGTTAAAAAGCTAGTCTGCTAACCACTTAGACGCCATGCTGCTTTGCTGCTGTATTCTGTTTGGCCAACATCAAATTTTAGAGTGTTCTTTTATCCTTCAAGTCTCTAAAAATAGAATGAGTGAGATATCTTCGAGCTATGCAACGTGCTGTGGTGTAGGTTTTCTTGTATCAGCCAATATGTATTCAAATTATTAGCTGGAAGTCTTTACCAAGGATGTGAGAAGATTATATGCAATAGTCCTTGAAAGACTGCTGGGTAAATAACAGAACAGGGAGATCATTATGCTCATCCCTCCTGAGAAAATGAATCATTAAGTGGATTATTTGTTGCCATAGTGTATTGTGAGTCCAGCATCTCGATTTAGAAAATAACAAACAAAATTAGTCTGTGGTGAGTTTCTGAAAATGCCAAAATAAAGACATTTGTGTGGTCATTGTATGTTGCATTCTCAAAAAGATTAAAGGAATAAAGAATTCGTAGAAGGAGCTATAAGCATTTAGTGGTTAAAGGATTGGAGAAAGTAGCAAGGTATATACCAGGAGGTTATAAAGAACTTATTGTGCTTGTGCCTCTCTTCACATATGAAAACATAAGTATAGAATAATACATTATATGTGATGAATATATGCAAGATAAATCGTCACACAAACTAAGACTACATTATTCCTTAATAATAGAAAACTAACAATATTCGGTAGAAAGGCTTAAATTATTCATTTGAAAGTGAGATAACTGCACACCACTATGAAAGAAAAATTACAATCTTTAAAATCTGTAAAATGTTATTCGGTAGGAAATTTTACAAGTATTTGGGGTTAGACTAACCAAAAATAACTGAGTGTATTAAAAATTAAACCTATAATAGAAATTGTGCCTGCATTTGGTATTTATCATAAAAGTTCCTTAATTTAGTATGGTTCTATAGGTAAATATAGATCTGTAATGAACTACAAATTTATAAAAAAAATATTGTATGCCAAAAGTTTGTAGACATCAGACTATTACACATTTATGGGGTTGTTGGAAATTCAATCCCAAAACTATGGAAATTAACATTAAGTCTACCCCCCTTTAGTGAAGATGGCTATATCTGTTTTCACTCTTCTAAGAAGGCTTTTCACAAGCTTTTGAAGTCTGTCTGTGGGAATGTTCTGTCCATTTAGCCAAATGGAACTTGTGAGGGCAGTTACTGATGGTGGATGAGAAGATTTGGAATGGCAATTCATCCCAAAGGTACTCAGCAGTCAGGACTTTGTACAGGCTACAAGAGTTCCTCCACACCAGACTCATCAATATTCACTTTCACAGCACTCTACTCTGCTCTGTTCAAACCCTCAGGAGTACACAGTGTTCCAGTTATTGAAGGAACCTCCTCTCCTTCCTCCCTGGATGCAGTGCTCAGATCTGAGTGGTCAACTGCCAGGCCCAAACTCTGTCACTGAAGGAAGAGGAGGAAGTAATTAACCCTGTTTAAAGCTTTCACACCATAATACATTGAACTTTACACAGTGTTTTAACTTACACCTCAATAAAGCACCAATGTACTAGAGGATGGTATGCATCAGTGGATTCTGGATTGTTCTTTTATAATAACCAGTCACTTTGCCTTGAATGGGCATAGCAGAAGAGTCTTTTCAAACATAAACTGTGAAATTACACAGTTCAGCTTTATCACAGTTTACCCTGCTATTTTGGAATTGGCCAAAGAGAAAATAAGTTAGAATTATAATAACATACATTCAGATTGGTCTCTAATCCATAAAGCCTCAAAATCAAGAAATTGAATTATGTAATCATTGTGTTCATCTCTAGTAACAATTATGTGGCCTTTATATACCATCTTTCGTGTTTAATGTGAGGCTGGAACAGATACCAGGTTGCTGCATTTTCACATTACTTTAATGTGGGTCTTTCTAGGAAATTAAAAACAAAAACAAATCAAAGAAAGAATTTACCTATAGCAACCTTTGGAAAGCATGGAACTGGTGTTATTCTAATTCACTGAGGGTGGTACACTGTTGGGCTCAGAATCTCTCTGTGCAGTTATCTTTTGAGAAATATATTTCATATAGCAATAAGCTACCAGCAGCAAATCACAGGGATCATAGTAATACAGTTTACGCTGGTTGGTATGAGGTTAAGTGGGCAATGTTATGACTGGATACTGCTAATGTAGGATGTGTAGCAATCCTTAATAGTAAAGCTGATGATGCTCAGATACTACTAAGGCTGTGATGGTGGTACACAAACGTGATGTGTTAAAAACACTAACCTATAACATCCAATCAGGATCCACTTTCCAGATGCTAAATTAGTTCTAAATAAACACTAGATCGTAGTGTTCCACCATTTTTCTTAGCCCCAATTTTTATTTTTGTTTTACTAGATCCTTGTATTTGTAATGAAGATCATTCCATGGACTACTTGCTACAGTTTTAGACCACCACACTAAAGACATAAAGAAAGTTCACTTAGCACAATGAACAAAGTGAATATTTGTTCACTTTGAACACCCTATCATGTGAAGGAGAACTTCAAAAATCAGGATTGTACATTGCTCATGATTGAATAAACAAAGTTTACCTTTTTTCATTAATCTTTGATAAGCAAATATTCTCTTCCTTTAGTAGATAAGTCCATTGTATTTTCCTGAATATTCTGAGAAAAAAAGAAAACAAATTACAATTTCAAAAAGATTAAAATGTAGGCAAAAAGTTATTTGTCTGTTATAAATGTTTAAACAAGATGTATAAAAGAAAAAAATATAAACTATTCAAGCCTATAATAATTAGACAGGCCAAAATCCAGGTACAAAATGCTGCCGATTGCAAAACAAATCCATAATATCAACAATAGTAAATCTGCTCAGTATGGACTGAGCACAGCAGGAAAACATTTAGTACTTGCTTTCAGTTGTTAAGTACTCAGTATGCTCTCCAATTTAGGCAAATCTGTTATTTGGAGTTAAGGAATATTGCTCATTTGCTGCCTTAAGAGTATTTTTTTCAGTAAGAGAGTTTTTACAGTTTTTGTACCATAAAAGGATTTTAGGCTAGTTGAATTGTTCTTTATCCAAGCCATCTGTTGCCGAGGTCTGGAGTTTTAGGTGAATTTTATTGTTAGCATTAAGTCTTTTTTCTGTTTTGAACTACAGTTTTTGTGTCCAAAATTATTCAACCCCCAATTTAAAGGGGTTTAGGGACTATAGTGTACATTTG